TATTCAAGGTGTGGTGGCCCATGCTGGCCAACTTATCCCTATATACTGGCTGCGGTCTGGGATTATCCAAGGATGTGGGCTCTCTGGGAGCCTCTACGCCCTCGGCACGGCCCCCTTTCTCCAAGCGCTGGAGGACTCCCTCGAGGCTCCTGGATATGGTATTGCTCGTGCGTGTGCTGATGATATAGGAGCAGTGGTATATGAAGCTAGGCACCTTCAGGTGCTATATGATGTGATGGTGGTTACGGAGTGTCTCGCAGGGCTGAAGCTGAAGCCCATGAAGTGCAAAATTGTCCCGCTCAAGGGGGAGTTCACGGAGTCCCTCCAGTTCCACACCTTGTCCCTGGTCGAGCGCCTGGTCCCTGCCTGGCACGCCTTCGAAGTGGCCTCCCACGTTCTCTACCTGGGCCTCCTGCTGGGCCCCGCCGTCACTGTCGACATGCAGTGGCTTGCACCGCTACAGAAGCTCAAATTACGGGCTCGTCTACTGGGGTCTGGGGCTGCCCCTGCTAGTATCAACGGCGTCTTGTACTCGTCCAGGGTGTTCTCAGTGGTCTCATATGTGGCCCAATTTGTTCCTCTCCCTCAACGTCTCGCCGCTCTGGAACTGGGGATTCTGGCGCAAGTCTTCAGAGCCCCTCTTGGAATGCTCACCTTAGCTGGATGGGCCCAAATTGGAGAATGGGGAGGCCCACGTATCCCTCTGCTGCTACATTCGTGCGCCGCTGCCTATGCTCGAGCTGCATTAGTCACGTTTTCTGATCACACTACCATTAACGATCGATTCCGACAGCTGGAATCTGAATGGAGATGTTCCCTCATGGCGGGGCGATATGATGATGCGCCTCTGGCGGCGATTCGGACTCGGGGTGATGCACTCGACCATACTGGCACGCACTGGCGATCCCCTTCCTTCTTGCTCGGATACGCATCAGTTCTCCAGCCAAGCAGGGAGGCAGCGTACACCACCGAGATCAATAACACGTGCGTGCAGACCATCGCCCAGGAGCTCCTGGCCACCGACAGGAAGCCCAAGCCTCAACGTGCTGCCACCCGTGCCCTTCGGGAGTTGCTGGTGACACCCTTCCCACTCGCCTCGCTGGTGCAGAGACGTCTTCTGAAATATGTACATGAATGGGAACCGTTCCTGGATCGTGTGGCCTGGGCAGAGATTGGTGGACTTCTATCGCTGGTTCCCATGAGCTGGGCCATGCCTGTTATAAAGACTTATTGCTCTGGATGGCTTACCTCATCGCGCATCAAATATGCTGGGGGCTCCCGCTCATGTATCTTTGGATGCCGAGCCCACGATGATCGACAGTATCACTACATGCGTTGCCGCCCGCTCTGGACAGCGGTGTACCAAGCACTAGGATATGAGATGCTCCCACTCCTCCCTGACCGATTGGGACTGCGGCTCCCTGACATCAAGCATGTCGAAGCCGTGACAGTTGCCTTCAACATCTACCACAACATGCGATTTCGCTTATACGTCACCGCCAATGACCTTCGATCTAGTGCGAGAGCAGCGGTCAGAAATCTAAGATTGGCCAAGCCCGATTCTCAATGGCAAAAGAAATGGCAGCCCCCAGAGGCACTGATTCTTCGCCGCCTTCCTCTGCCCACGTCGACCTCATCGACATCATCTAGCGATATCGAGGACGACGAGCTGCTGCCCGACCCCCCTGGAGATCCCCAAGACGGTGATGAACTGGCCGCTGGTAGTCATGGTCTTACATCTGTGGGCAAGACCTCGGACAGCCCGCCCTGCGTCGACACTGATGGAGTACCGCGCTCTGGTCCTGACGTGGTCGAGAATGATTGCCGATCACCGTGCCTCACTCCGCAGCTGGTCCCCACGGTCCACACCGATGACGACAGAGTCTCTTCCCCCTCCGCTCCTGGTACACCAGCTACTCTGATTGCGACGCCTTCCAGAGAGATACACAGCGACGACCTCGACTGCCTCGAACCTCCAGTGCCGAGCAGATGGGGTACTGACATCGTCAGAACGCCAAGTCCTGGCGCTGGGTGCTCCTCGAGCCCAGGTGTCCAGGCATCTAGAGTAAATTGCGAGGAGTGGCTGCTGCCGTCCCCTGGAGTTGAGGCTGGGAAGGTTAGAACGCAAAGTCCTGGCGACGGGTGCTCCTCGAGCCCGTCGGTTCAGGCGTCTAGAGTAAATTGCGAGGAGTGGTCTCTTCCGCCGATGGCGATTAGAACGCTCTGTCCTGCGCTGGGGTGCTCCTCGAGCCCCGGGAAGCAGGCTGGCTCTACTCCCGAGGGGAAGTTCACTGGCTCTGTGCCGTCCCTGATCGTGCGTCGCTCACGGCAGGGGTGCATTCTGGCTACCACTCCTGGACGGGCTGTTGCTCCCATGGTGCCCTGCTCGTCCGTGGCGTCTTGTTCCCCGATGTCGCTGTCATGGACTCCCTCGCGGTCTCCGAGCACCCTGATGGCCAGCCCGTCGACCCAGAGGTTATCTCCCCCCCCCCCGTGGTCCGCGCCAAGGACCCCGCCTTACCCTGAGCCCTCCCGTCGCTGCCTCTTTTCGACTGCCCCCTTGTCCTCTTTTGCCCCGCACACCTCGCTCTGTCCGCCCACGCTCGGCTCTACGCATGCCCATCCGCCCATTCCGTCTCCCTTGTCCCTTGAGCCCTCCCTGCTGCTGCCCTCTGCCGTCTCCTCTCGCTCCTCTCCCCTGGAGTTAGCTATGTCGCTGGCGTTTCCCCCGTCTCCCACCCCTTCCGTCGCTCCTTTGAGCCTTGCCCCTGCTCCTGCGTGCTTCTCCCCTGCTCCTCCCTCCTCGTGGCATAATCAGCTTTGGTGCTCTAACACCGCAAAGAGCGAGGCAACGACCTCTGGCGCCCCTGCGCCTCTGTCTTAGGGTGGAGCTGAACCCCCCCTGTACGCTGTCCTCCTCCTCCTCCTCCTCCTTCTCCTCCTCCTCGTTCTCGTCCTCGTCCTCCTCCTCGTCCTCGTCCTCGTCCTCCTCCTCCTCCTCCTCTCCTCCTCCTCCTCCTCTCCTCCTCCTCCTCCTCCTCCTCCTCCCCCCTTCTCCTCCTCCTCCTCCTCCTCGCCCTCCTCCTCCTCCTCCTCCTCCTCCTCCCTCTTCTTCTCCTCTCTCCTCCCCTCCTCCTCCTTCTGTCCTCCTCGTCCTCGTCCTCCTCCTCCCCCTCCTCCTCGTTCTCGTCCTTCTCCTCCTCATCCTTTTTCCTCCTCCCTCCTCCTCCTCCCCTTCCTGCTTCTCCTCTTCTTCCCTCTCCTCCTCCTCCTCGTCCTCGTCCTCCTCCTCCTCCTCCTCCTCCTCCTCCTCCTCCTCCTCCTCCTCCCCTGCCATCCTCCTCCTCTTCCCCATCTTCCTCCTCTCTCCTCCTCCCTCTTCGTGCTCCTCCTCCTCCTCCCTCCTTCCTTCCTCCTCCGTCCTTCTCCTTCCTCCCCCTCCTTCCTTGTTTCTCTTTCTCTTCCGTTTCCTCCACCCCCTCCTAGAGCTATTTCCCATCCAGGCTGGCCGCCCCCGCAGCGGCCCGCCTGGATGGATGCTCCGCCAGCAAACTCGGGAGCGTTACTGCTAGCGGGCGCCGGGGGCCACGGGAGGCGCATCTCCTCCATGTGCGCCGCTGGCGGGCTGATGCAATGACTGCGAAGAGGTGGCGTCTCTGGAGCGGCTCGCGAGCCTCATTTGGGCGAAGCGGCAAGTCAGCTGCCAACTTCGACGAGGCTCGGCGTCTCCGTGCGGTGGCAAACGTCGAGGACGTGTGTGTCTGCACGGGATAGTGGGGCAAGCGGCGTTGTGCGTCGCTGGCGGGCGAAGTACAACATTTGAAAGGGGGGCATAACCTGGAGCGGTGAGCTGAGCCTGGCCAATGCCCAACGAGCAAGCGAGGCAGGCGCGTGGCAGCTGTCCTACAATCTCCACGGCTGTTTTGCTGATCGTGTGTGGTCGCGATGTTCGCACGTTTGTGTTCAGGCATTTTGGATCCTGACATTCTTGCTTGTTCGTATGCTGGCAGGTGAAAGGATCTTTTGTTTCACTGTCAACGCTATCTTCTGGTGTATCTACCCCCGCCACTTGCCCCACACGTTCTTTTCATATCTCGCTTTCGTGGCAGCCGCGTGCGTTGCTGTGGGTGGGACATCAGTTTCCATAGGTGTGTATTGCACAACTCTGCGACATATCCATTTCGCAGGCAGTGCGTTTCCTTTTGTTTGCTCAGCTGTTGTGGACCCCGTGTTGCTGTCTCTTGAGGCGCCTGCTCGGAAGTTCATGGCGCCACTGTCGCCAATGCCAGGAGAGCCCGCACGCCACGGGAGCTCGGAGGTAGTATACGTACTGCATCTGAGCGGGCAGGCGTCCGGAGTCCTTTCCATCGCAGGGGACTCTTAGGCAACATAATTCCAGCATCATGCTCCCTCCTTCTCCCTCCTCCCTCCCTCCTCCCTCCTCCCTCCCCCCTCCCACTCCTCCTCCCTCCTCCCTCCTTCTCCCTTGTCCTCCTCCTCCTCCTCCTCCTCCTCCCTCCGCCTCCTCCTCCTTCCTCCTCCTCCCTCCGCCTCCTCCTCCTTCCTCCTCCTCCTCCTCCTCCTCCTCCTCCTCCTCCTCCCTCTTCCGTCCCCTTCGTGCCGAACGCACTCGGCATCGCGCGCGCCGTGCCCTGACTGCCTGCGGGTCGTCGGGCGAGGCCACGGCCGTCCCTGCGGGGGACTCGGCCCCCTCTCGGGCCGACTTGATGTCGGCGCGCGCCGCCGCGGCGGGGCCCGAGCGAGGAATTGTCGTTGTCGTCGTCGTCGTCGTCGTCATTTTCGTCATTTTCGTCGTCGTCGTCGTCGTCGTTGTCGTCGTTGTCGTCGTCATCGTCGTGGACGTCGAGATCGTCGTCGCCGTCGGCGCAATTTCGAGCGAACAACTGGAGAGGACCAAGATGACACCGACGCTTCTCCGTTCCCTCGTGGCCACTGTCATCGTCCCCTTTCCCTTCGCCACCCGCGCCTGCGTCGCCGAGGTGAGAGCACCGGAAGGCGGGCCCGAGGTGGGCGCGAGTTTCTTTGCCGCCGCCACCGCTGCCGACGGGCTGCCGCATCGCCCAAGTGGTCGTGGCGCGTGCGTTAGCGTGCATGAAGGCGGGGAGGAACGGGAACAGAGACGGAAGCAGGAGGAGATTACGAGGAATAGCAGGATGACGATGAGGATGAAATCGAGTATAAAGAGGGTGATCATAATGAGGAGCAGTGAGGATGAGCAGGAACGAAGGAGCAAACGTAGGATGGCCGAGGCGAGGGAGTCATGGCCGAGAAGAAGGTAGAGGGACAGCACGGGCGCGCCTCCAAGGTGAAGAAGCTGCGGGACGAGCTTCAGGCGGCACTCCCCCCTTCGCCGGAGCCGACGCCGCTGGGTCTCCGCACCACAGTGGCTCTCCTGGCCGCGGGCCCGTCGGCAGCACGTTGGCGTTGCAGGCAGTTCGAGGGTTAAGTCGGGCCTGTCCCTCTACAGGAGGAGTATTCAAAAATACCGAAAAAATACTAAGGGGACGTTTTTTTTAAAAATCATTCTGACTCTTTTTCAACATTGTTGGGGTATTTAAATTTTTTCGCCCAAAATCCCCCTGTATGTGGACAGGCCCGACCCAATTCTAGGGGAGGGGGGGAGATGGCAGGATAGAAACAAGCAGTTCGCTCGCGCCATATCTGACATCCTACACCTTCCCACTGTGCCGAGTATTTTTCTATCCGCGGACGGCTGTCTAAGACGACCTGGATCCCCCAAATGACTCCACCGTGGGATTCGCAATAAGAAAGGACCTTGGGGAGGCTGGGTGCCTGCTGGATGTTTCGGGCCCTCTTGGGGTGGGCAGCTCCGGGAGGCGGTCTGAGATTCACCCGCCCCTCTTGAGGTCTTCTTGGGGCTCTCTTGGATTCCTCGTGGGCTTGCTTGGATTGTCGTAGGACTGGAATGTGAGTGGACGAACATCATCCAGCATCACAGGCTGGCCCCCAGGGCTTCCAAGACGACACAAGAGGCCTCAAAGGTTGCCCCAGGACGGTTGTGTGGGTCCATCTCGGGACACGTGGGAAGGATGGACTCCCAGTCACGCTTTCAAGTCTTTGAAACAATGCCACTCTTTCAGCTCCAGAACCGCCTACAAATTCTGGAACCCCTGGATCTGAACATCCAAAACTGAGAACTCGAAGGGACGGACCTGTGGACACTCGACCTCGCGCCCCGCGTCACGGAGGCGGAGCGAATGCGCAGAGTTCTGCCGTTGTGTCCAGCATGTCCCTCTCTCAAGCGCGTCTTGGTAGACCACCTCTGGCAACCACCGACGGCGATCCGGTGCTCCGTGCCGTTCGATGGTCCTCAGGACGCGTGTTGCCCCGCTGTGTGCTTGCCCCGTTCAGCTCCACCGATGACACGCAGCCTGTGCCGGCCCTCATTTCATCACCCGTATCGTGTTGAAGTGCTTCAGTGGACAAGCACACGTTGACGCTAGCACACGCTCTGAGGCAGGGCTGGACCTAAACGGTGTTTTTGGTGATTTCGTGGGCCGTTTTCGTTTCGACTTCGTTTTGCTGTAGATTCGAGACAGAAGCGAGGGAAAACGAATGCAAAACGAAAACGAAACACACCGTTTAGGTTCAGCTCTGTTCTGAGGATCATCGAACTGGCAGCCGTATTCCCAAAGCTCCCCCCCGTTGCGCTGCGCTGTCCAGCCCGATTCCGCTGCGGCTTTTCACGCTCGGGCGGGGCTGAGACCGGGACAAGTCCCTCCAGAGCGTCACGGAGCGCTCTCAGAGCGTTCGAGAGCGTTCTGGAGTGGCCGTGGCGCCCGATACTCCTGCAGAACCGCTGGGTCTCAGAGATCCCTCGTTGATCCCGGTCTCGGGATCACCCACACATACTTCTATTATATGTGCGACGCGTCCCCAGGGGCGACGCGCGCGCTGAGGAATCTTCTGGTATCTGCTCGGTGGCGGGCGCTTTCTGACCATACCGCTCGGGAAGGGATCTACTACAATATTTTGTATTACATATCCGTGCGCGACGTGCGTCTCCAACAGAGGCACACAGTACTAGTACGTCCTTGTGCATTCTGGTGCATCGTTGCAACGCCATGCAGCACATGATTGTAAACGCATTGCCACATGATTTATTGCAGGCGTGCATACATGTATGTTTGTTGCGCCATGCCTAAACCGACGAGGCTCGAATTTTGAAGTCACCCGACATGTTCTAGATTCTACAGCCAGGCTGAGGAAAAACCGCGCATTCACAGCTCGAGAGTTCTTTGGTTTCCTCCATCCTGGCCCGATCCTGTCAATGATCACACCGATCACAACGGTAACTGCGATCACAGCGATCACGACGAGGGTCGACCAACTCCTCGGCGAACTCTCTGCTGTCCCGTGTCACGTGCTCCCTCCATCGATCGCAGCAGGAGAGCAAGCACTGATCGTTGCTACCACTGTGATCGTTGTCGCTGTGGTCGTGGTCATGGCTTCATCCTGGTGAGGGCCTCGTTACCTCGTTCCTTGTCTAGGGCTCCTTATGACCGCGCTTCGACGGTATCTGCGCCCCACCACCACCTCCAAGACGACGAGGACTGCGTCCCACCACGAGAGGAGGAGGAGGAGGAGGAGGAGGAGGAGGAGGAGGAGGAGGAGGAGGAGGAGGAGGAGGAGGGAGGAGGAGGACGACGAAAAGGAGGTGAAGGAGGAGGAGGAGGACGAGGACGAGGAGGGCGAGGAGAAAGATATCCTCCCTCCCTATGATCCCGCCCTGGGGAGGGCTGCCAGGCCGCGGCCAGCGGCCCGGGCCGGGCCGCCGCGGGCCGTGCGACCCGCGGGCGGGCCGTGGGAGGTGCTGGAGAGCCAGAAGGCCGCCCTGCTGGAGATGGTGCAGGGGGTCCTTCCCGTGCCGCGCGCTCCTCCCCCGTCGGCGCGCCTGGCCAGGGAGGGAGGGAAGCAGGAGGAGGCAGGAGGCAGGAGACAGGGAGGCAGGGAGGGAGGGAGGGAGGGAGGGTGGGAGGGTGGGAGGGAGAGGAAGGGAGAGGGAGGAGCGAGGAGGAGGAGGGGCGAGGAGGAAGAGGAGGAGGAGGAGGAGGAGGAAGCGGAGGAGGAGGAGGAGGGACGGGGAGGCGGAGGAGGAGAAGGAGGAGGAGGAGGAAGAGGAGGAGAAGGAGTAACTGGAGTAACTCTTCAAGAGGGGGATGCGTCCGTGACGCACCCCCTCGCTTCAGTTCGATTACACGCAATCGAAAGCCCTCACTCTCCCCCCCCCACCATCCCCCCGCCGCCGTCGGAAGTCCTTGACGTTCGATCCGACGACGGGCAGCGGCGCTCTGCCGCCTCCAGCGCCTTGGGGGATGGGCCAGTCCTTGCCAGCCTTGGGGGGGAGACCTCGGCTCAGCCGATTCAAATAATTGCGTCCCGAATTGGTGCGCTTTTCGGGACAGAGGTTGACCAGCTCACGCAAGCGGCCCCCACCCTGGACCACTGTCCCGAATCTAGCACACTTCCAGCACCACGCTAGACCGTTCAGCATGGCAATAGAGTGCGAGCTGTGGACGACTCTATCGCCCACTCTGAGGGTATGCACATTAGTGGGGAAAACTCTGACATGGTGCCCCTGCTCACTGAGTTCTCGCTGGGCGACGTCTCCTGGGCACAAGAAAGCCTGGAGCCAGTCCTCCAGGGAAAATCGGCCTGGGGACTGGCGGCAAAGCTTGCAGGACCACAGACCATTCGAGAGGCGCTGCATCTGGTGGCCAGCTCTGGCCTCAAGCTCTCCCACCCTCGACAGCCCCGCCTCCGAACCGAGCGACCCACCGAACTCCCCACGGTCCCCCCGATCTAGTTCAGAGCAGCCATGGGCCAAAATCGCCCCTATCCTCTGATGCACCAAGGTGGCTCTGGCATCGGCAACGTTCAAAGCTTTGATGGCACTACGGATGGGGGCGGCGGCGGCCTCAGCTCCTCGTTGGGCTAGCTGGTCGGCCATCTCGTTTCCCCGAGACACTTCCAGATCCTGACCTACGCGCATATGGGACTCGGCATCCAGGTGCGAAAAACACTTCTTCAGAACTACGTGCCCTTCGCCTCTGCTCTGCAGGGCCGCTCTCACCCGAGACCACCACCGAATGAGCGGACCCTGCGGAGCTGAGGCGAAGCCTTTGCACCATCCTTCAAAGACAAGGGCACAGTCTGACCACAGCACAATGGGTCCCTTGGTGACCTTAAGGGCCCAAACCAACGCGGCAAGCTCACTAGCAGGCACTGTCTGGGGTCCGTCGATGGTGCCAAACAGCCCGCGGAGGACCCCTCTTTCCACGTCCAGCTCCGCCTCGCCTTCCACACGGAAATACACACCCCAACCAACACGGCACATTCGGGCATCGCTGGACGTGGCGGAGCCGTCAAGGAAACCTACCTGCGCCTGGAGGGGGAAAGTAGAGGACGGGAGGAGCTCGAAGGAGGAGTCGAGGTCGGGAGGGGGGAGCCCTATAGCCCAAACCTCTTGGCCTTCTCCAGAGTTCCACTCGGGGGGCGGGGGCACGGGGTTCCAGGACGGGGGAACGATCCCCCTAGTCCAGAAACACACGTTCGCGCCCTCACTCAAATCTTTCAATGCATGCTCACACAACGACTCAGTTCGAGACACCCACTCATGGTCGATGTTGACATTCGCCTGACACTCATACAATCTGTGAGCAATCGTGTCTTTTCCAAGCTCACACCTCGGGCAAACGTCGTCGCATCTGTACCCTGAGGATTTGGCGCGAGCCTTCGTCCAGATACAAGCCAGAGCGTTCGCCTCCAGTGCACCTGCCTCTCGGTGTCGGCCCTGGCGATGGAGCCTCCGCAGGTTGACTCGCAGCATGTGCATGTCGCCGCCCTCGTGCAGCCCTTGCCCTGCTGGATGATCGCCAGCCTGCTTCCAAAGGTCGCGCCTGACTGAGGAGCAGAGAGCCTCGTACAACTCGTCGTAGCTGTCCGCGACATCGCCCATGTGCTTCCACTCGTTCCCATGGTCGTCGAGCCAGTGGTCTGGAGCTCGCGGGGTCCACCCGAGCTCGCGCAGCGTCATGATGAGAGCCCCCATCGGGCCCGTCACGCACCGCCATCTTGAGCGGGGGCGCAGGTATATCAGTCGCTTCAGCACTGCTCTCCAGCCCCGTCGAACTCGTTCTCGCATCTCTGGATGGGCCTCCCAGAACTGGAACCACTGCTTGACCTGATCCTTTACCACACTCATCTTGGCCTCGTCGTCCTGGTAGTGGAGCAGCATGACTGAGGCCGTGCATCTGCCACCGACTGCGTGCCCCGCCAAGTCTGCCGCTTGGGCACGCCTGCGCTCCATATCAGACGTCGCCACTCCCAGGACTGGATCAGCATATCGAAACTTCGCCTTGATGTTGGTATTGTGCAGCAAGACTCCTTTGGATCTGCTGCCTCCTCGACCGACTCGCCTGAACAGGGCCGTGCGCGTGGCGCGAGCCTGCGCCGTGGTCATCCTGCCCTTGGCGGTTTTGGTCGCACGCTTGATTCCCATGGAGCAGTCCACCCCGAGGTCCTTGGCCCAGCTGGCTCGCTTGATCTTGATGCCCGTACTCTGCAGGACGTGCCGCTGGACTCTCACCTCATCCTTCACATTCGTCATCATCAGGAGCGACTTGGGGGAGACTCGGAGTCCCAGGTCCAGCATGCCCTGCGCCAGCTCGCAAGTGATTATCTTAGTCTGGTCCAGCACCATCTTTCTTGGACCCTCCACTCGCGTGTGTACATCATCTACGTGCTGCCTGATGTGCGCCAGCGGGGCCCTCTCATGAGCCCTCTCCAACAGTCGGTACAGGAAAACTCTTGCACAATGGTTGGCCTTCCCGCAGCCTGGCACGATGGAGCAGTTCGGCACGATGGACTCGGCGTAAGCCCCTTGGGCCTTGACCGTCCGAGGCGGTAGATACGTCAGGCAGCAGAGGTACAGCTCCACCGCAGGAAATTGAAGTTCGATAGCCTGCAGAATCATCTGTGCCAAATCCATGTGTTCGTAAAACTTCTCAACATCTGCCAGAAAGTTGTTCTGCTCGTTGAGACCTATGCGTGCCCTAGTCTCATCCAGGACCATGGTAAGTAGGGCGGCCTGGAGCGCACTGCTGCCTCTCACCGCGGCATCCCAGTGCGCAGCCCGTTTGTCGCACCACTCCGTCAGGGGGGTCTTGGTGAGGCGCCCCCAGATCTTGACGGGCATCGGCAGGAGGCCGATGTCCCTCTCGTTGCCCAGCTCCTGCTTCTCGCCCTTGGGCAGCAGGGCGAACCAGTTGTGCAGCAGCTGGTGCGGCCATGCCAGCCCTCGCTCGATCATGTTGAAGAGCGTGACGAGATACTCCTGCCCCTGATCCGAGAGGGCCAGGATGTGTGCTGGCTTCCACTGATCTGGCCCCGTGCCCGTGCCCTTCGGGAAAGACTTGAGCGTGGCCACCAACTGCTCCCGAGTGTGGAAGGTCGGCCAGGTCCTCGTGGGCACGGGTCCTCACCGCACCGAGGGCAGCACGGACTGTTGGTAGGCGGTGTGGCTGGGAAGTCCACCGCGCTGCCCAGCAAGCCGCTCTGACGTCAGTTGTGCCCTGGACCGTGTCGCATACCTCACCAGTAACCGGGTCGATGCAGGTCTCATCCAGGGCACGCTGCTCGTTCTTCTTCAGGTAGCGGTGAGCGCCCTTCATGGAGCCCTGCGCACTCTTGACCGCCCAGCTGCCAATCTCGCTCCGCGTCTGCTGCCCAGCCAGGCTGGCGTGACGGATTGAGCGGGCCTGCACCTTCAGCGCGAAGTTCTGCCACTCTGCGAAGTCCGTGCATGCTCGAATGCGCTCGCCCTGGCGAAGAACCTGCTCATCATCTCTGAAAACTCTCCACTTCCCAGTCAAATCTTCAGCATGGCCATCTGGAACTGGGCCATGTCTGTCATGCTCTCTGCGCAGCTCGGCCAGTATGCTGGTCACGATGTCCTGAACCCGCTGCCGATATCCCGAATGACGAAAGCGACCTAGCGCCACCAGCTGCTCCTGCACCCTGGCGTGCAGACTCGCCCACCTGCTGCTGAGGGCGTTGGCACTGGAGTGGCCGAAATTCGAGTCATTCTTCTGAACAACAGCACGTCTCCACTGATACTTCACAGGCATACCTCGGCGGGCTCCCTGTCGCAGTTCAACCTCACAAAGATCAGCCAACTGTGCCTCCGCCGCCATCGACCAGATGCCATACTGCCTCGCGGGAACCTCAGACATGTGCGGGGCCGCTCTGTACGCCTCACTTCTCTGCACGTCTGGCTCGGCCTGGGGGACGGAGTAACCGAGGTCCTCGCTGGCCTCATACACGTACTGGATCCGCTCCTGGTCATCGCACCTCAGGGCCCGCTTGGTGACGTAGTGGTCGTCCAGCAAGTGGTCATCGTCGTCATTGAGCAGGCCGCCCTGCTGCAACGCGTGCATCTCGTCTCGCATCTCCTGGATCTTCGCATGCTTCTCCCTGTCCCTCTGGAACCTCTTGAGGCCTTTGGGCACCCTGGACTCACCCTCGGGAATCACCAGGGGTACTGGAAGCACTGGTACACGGAGGAAGACCGATGCGGGACGAGACCTGATGAGGATGTTGAGGCCTATGTGAGGGCCCCACGGCAAATTCTGCACTGGCAGCACCTGGGATAGAAAGGGACGGAAGCTGTCTGGCACCACCGCGTAGTCAATCATGCGGCCTTTTCCTGAAGTGCATGAGACCTCGACCCCCTCTGTGGTCACGACGCGAGCCCGAAGTACGTCCAACCATCCCGACTTTGCCATCTCAGCAGGCGTGGCATTGAAATCTCCCACCAACAACCATGGCACATCCAGTGACTTGACGATCCTGGCGATGTTGTGCATCTTCCTGGAGTTGGTCCCAGCCATGCCGATAGAACAATCGAGATAACAAACAATGAAGGCGAAAGTAACCCCGTGAAACCTCCATAGCACCACTGTCGTATCACGAAGGGCATCATGAAACGCACTCTTGCCAAGCGAGCCTGTCAGGTGAGTGCTTGTGGCATAGGTGGCCCTTCGGAGCCAGCACGTTCCCCCGTGCGTGCCCTTCTCAGACCTGCCTGTAGCCGTAGCAGCTGTCCACGTAGCCTCTGACCTCCAACCAACATTGCGAAGGCGCCTCTCCTCACCCTGGCACTGCACTTGGGACAAGTGGTGTTCTGCCATCCCCATGAGGTCGTACGGCGCCGACTCTACGAACTTCTTGACCTTGAGGCTCCAGCTGGTGACGTTCCCGAAGAAGATTGAGACTCGATCCCGTTGGCCAAATGGGACTCTATCTGCATTGTGGCGGAACGACGTGTCACCCACCCGACGTCTTGCCCGCGCCCGCTGCAGCAGCCGTTGCAGCACCTCCCGAGCTACCCGAGCGTGCTGCCTCCGCCTCTGCAGCCCTGGCCTTGATGGACGCCGTGCGCTGGATGTGCGCCTCCACGTTCTTGACATCAGTGAAATCCCGGTTTGACTCAACTGGCTTTTCGTCGTCCTTGGCCTGCGATTCGGCGCCAGCTGCAGGGGCCCCAGCCGCAACGCCTGCAGCACCTGATGCACGTCGACGCTTGTGAGTGGCAGTCTCCCGCAACTCCCGCAGCGTCTTGGCCGCGTCCTGCGCCTGCTGGCCGATGCTCTGCGCGTTCTTGTACACCTCCTGGGCCTGCTTGGCCCTGGCCAGCGCTGCCTCGTAGGCCGTCTGCTGCTCAGGCGTGAGGAGGGCCACGTCCTCAGGGTCCAGCTCAGGGAATTTGAGGGACTCGTCAGTATTAGCCGTCTTGCCTCCGTCGCCTGCATCCATGGCTGAACCTCCAGCGCCCCTGGCTGCAGATGTCTGGCTGGTGAGGCGATTGACCTCAGCCTGAGTTTCAGCGCACGCTCTGACGTTCTCCTCCAGCTTGAGGAGGAGCTCCTTCCCTGACCTGGCGTTGGCCACGACCTGGTTCTTGAGCTTCTCTTGCTGGCACTGGAGACGGCGGAGACACGCTGCATGTTGTTCCAAAAGAACTTCTGGAGCCTTGGGAGGTACAGGTTTGAGTGCATCCGCCAGCTCAGGGCACACCATCTCCAGCGCCTTGACAGTGTCTTCCTCTTTGGCGTCCTTGGCCGACCTGTACTTTGGCAGCAGCTTCTCGAGGAGGGTGCTGCCCGTCTCTCCACTCTCCAGTGCGAAGGTGACTTCCTTCCTGCTGGATGACTTCGGCCAGGGTACGTTGCACAATCGACACGCTTCCCAGCCAGGGGTTCCAGCTCTGTTGCAATACACCCAAGAACGAGGACAATTGCGGCGCACGTGATACGCCTGACGGCGCTTCCCGTGGGTGGAGGGCGGTCTCGAGCCATCCCTGCTCCTCGCCCTCTCGTTGCCGCTCCGTCCCATCAAACAACTCGACACTCGACTTTCGCCGCCTGTAGGCGCCCCTCAAGCCGCGGGAGCCCGTAGTGAGCACCTGGTGCGCCCCCGAACTCGGTACGCGCGAGTGCCGTGCGGTCGTCGGGCCTCTCCCAAAAGGACCTCGGGCCGCAGAAGGCTTGAGAAGAGGAGGAGAAGGAGGAGGGACGAGGAGGCGGAGGAGGAGGGGTGGAGTGGAGTGGACGGTGTTGCGGATGCAAGAACCATGATTGCTCAAACACCACGGCTTGGACGGGCCCTCGATCGCCTGGCAGCCTGCTCTGCCTGACTCAGGACCTTGGGCTGGAACCCCGTTCTGATCCTGTCAAGGTATTCGCGTCCCGTCTTATTCAATCGCTTCGCTCATTCCGCCGGCCCATATTGCAGCATCGCTGGCACTTGCTTGCGTGCTTGGGGGGGCATTTGGGGGGCATCCTGTGGCCGCTTGGGGGCCTCTTGGGGGCCTCCTGAGGGCCTCGTGGGGGCATCGTAGGGCCTCTTGGGGACCTCTACGGGCCTCGTGGAGCTCCTTGGCGGCGTCTTGGGGGCCCCTGGAGCCTCTTGGGAAGCTCGCGGGGGCGAGAGGAGGGGTGATCGATTGCGGCTCCCCCCTCGGAAGCCACGATCCCCGTGAGGGGTGCCGAAAAATTGCCCTCCCCTGGAGCTTTCTGGGGGACCTGGCCAGGGATCGCCTGGGATCCGCCAGGGATCGGCCAGGGTACCAGGGGCCGCCACGCGCGCGCGAAGTAGAATATTGTTAAACAGGTACCGGAGATCTTAGCACGCCTCTGGCCCGTTGGGCTGGCGAATTCAATTGACGCGTCGCGTATCCCCACCAGTCCATCCAAAAACGATACCCGTGAAAGTTTCTTGGGGCCTCTTTGGAGAACCTTTGGGGCTTCGTTGGGGCTTATAAAGCCCTCTTGGACTCTTTTGGGGACTCTTGGGGTTTCTGGATTCCTTCTGGAGCCCCTTTTGGGCTTCTCTTGGAGCCACGATCCTTGGAAAGGGCAACCGAGCCTCTTGACAGATGTTGCCCCGAGCTGTGCAGCCAGTGGAAGGTTGTTTCTTGCAATCCCATGCTGCGGAATCATCGGGACATATGTAATGCTTCTTGTGCATGGCGGCACTTTAACATACTTGGCCTAAACATTGTACAGGGGAGAGTCAGACGGGGATGCATTTTGGGATATCCAGCTGCCTGTGGCAAGTCCCACCACCGTGCCAACCCATCACTTTGGGAAGCGACTGTTCGAGGAACGCCCAGAAAGCCGTAACATGTGAAACCCTGTACCCGGAGACTTCGAAAAGCCGTAAAGTGTGGCACGCTCTTCCGCGTCGTGTTTGCCGTCATGTTCCTCCATTCCTCTTTTACCCTCTTCTCTTGGGGTCTCTGGGTGGCCTCTTGGGGGCGTCTTGAGGGCTCTTGAGGGATCCCCGGGCCGTCTCAGGGCCTCTTGTGGGATTCCCGGGCCGTCGTAGGGCGCTCCTGGGCCGCCTGGCGCCTTCGGAGTCTTCCTCGGAGGCCTCTCTGGGCCATCTTGGCAGCTTTTGGAGTCCCTTGAACAGTCTTGGAGCCGTCTTAACGCATCTTGGCCCATCTTGCGGGCCTCTGGGGCCGTCTTGGGGCCATATTTGCAGCCTATTTGGCCGTCGTGAGCTGACGGACGCGCGACAAGGGGAGAATGCAACCATTATTCCCAACCAACCTGTTGTTGGGTGCTCGTTTGGAAGAGCCCACGTCCCTCCCTCCCGCCTCCTCCCCCTCCTCCCTCCTCCCATCCCTGTGTCTGCCCTCCGTGCCAGTCAACCAGTTCGGCGCACCCCTCACACGTTTCGTGGCCCCTTAGGGAGCTCCACCGAAGGTTTCAGTTGCAGCGCCCGCATGCGGTTCAACCCTCATTCTGGTGCACCCCTCACACGTTTCGTAGCCCCATCGGGAGCTCCACCGAGGGCCCAGTGGCAGCGCCCGCGTGCAGTTTCACTTTCAATCTCGGCACACCCTTCACATGTCTCGTGGCCCCATAAGGAGGTCCACCGAAGGCCCCAGTGGCAGCGCCCGCGTGCAGTTCCACCTTCAATTTCGGCACACCCCTCACACGTTTCGTGGCCCCAGAGGGGGCTCCACCGAAGGCCCCAAGTGGCCCCAGAGGGAGCTCCACCGGAGGCCCCAGTGGCAGCGCCTGCGTACGATTCCACCGCCAATTTCGGTGCGCCCCTCGGACGATTCGTTGCCCCAGAGGGAGCTCCACCGAATGGCCCAGGGGTAGGCCTCCTGGAGGCAAGAGTTGTCGACCACCGCCGCGTCCCAGGCCCGCTCTTCATCCACTGACGACTGCCGCACGACTGGTTCACGAACATGTGACCATAGCCTGCCTGGCGTCGAGACCAGGCCTATGGCTCTTTTCACTGACGACTTTTTGTGGATGAGCTTTCCCACAACAAGTATTGTTTGGATCGGTCAAGGAAGTAACTGCTCGATGCTTTGCATGATGATGGCCAGCTCCGCAATAGCTGGCCCAGGCAATCGTTGAATATCCACAGGTGACACCATATCTACGCCCATGCCAATCTTTGCTTTCATGGCCTTCGCACTCGCATATATCTGCTCAGGCTGGATGGGCGGCACTGGTTCCAACTCTGCTGCCGTCCGCATCGGTCTGAAAATCTCGCGAACATGAGATCCCTGCGGGGCCGTCGGGGCCCACAATTGTTTGAACTTCTCTGCTTTCATATTCATCACCTCCGCTGGGTGCTGCACAACTTTGCCCTCTAATACCAACCCCATTGTCGCGAAGGGTTGAGGTCGAAGAGATTCGCGCAGCACTCCCGTCGCCACTGGGTCGGTGACCTACGTCTGAAACTCAGCCATCGACTCTTTGACTGCCGCCCGCTGCGCCCTGCACATGACGCGCTTGGCCGCCACCACATAGGAGCCCAGAGCAGCAATGTTGATGTTGCCAGGATCTCGAAGTATCTGCAGCCACTGATCCCGAGGAGGGTCTCGCCCTGGGTTGAGCATTCCATGAGCCTGAGTTGGCCGATTTTCCCGAAAGTTCTTCTTGCACGCCACGTACATCTCCTGCAGTTGCCTGGCGCCGTTGTTGCGACTCCGATGCCTAGCCACGCCATGCAAGAGAGTATACACTCTTGTCCTACGTTGATCCCTGAGCGGGAGAGCCCGCGCATGCGCCGCCACACGCATGGGCTGCACGGAAAACCTGGGTCCCTGAGCACGCAGGGCCCCAGGAGCGACCTGGATAGCATGATGTGTACGGACAGCCTGTTCGACAGCGGAGACCTACGAAGCGTACATGCCAGCTATTGCAACGCTTTGCTGAACCTCAAGCCTAGAGGCTACGGAGGAGGTGAGGAAGAGAGAGAGAGAGAGAGACCTGCTGCACACTCTGATCTCCAGAGGTAAATCCCACAGAGCGCCGACTTTCAGTCCGTTTTATTTAACAGGGCTTTCAAACGTGGGCTCGGGAACTTTCTCTTGAGACACTTCAGGATAACCTGCGGCTGTTGCAGCACAAGAGTCAGATGGGGAACATTGAGAGTTGGACACTGCGGTTGACCTGCTGTTAACTTGCTGCTTATCTAGGCTAGTAGGGGACTCAACGCTGGGGGGCTGGGCCTCACGTGTAACCAAGCTATCAGCAAGCTCGGGGTTAGGCTCGTTTCCCTTCGGGGCACGGTCGCACAGAGGCACGCTGGGCACACCATTGGGTAGAGCCACCCCCCACAATTAGGAACGCTCTGAAACGCAGCGACCAGATTACCATCGCTACAAAAGTTGAGCTCGCTAGCCCAAGGATCCTCCTCCTCCTCCTCCCCCTCCTCGGGGTCCATAAAGATCCGCCTCGGGAACATCGGTTGGCTCGCAGGGGACCCCTTCGCCCTCCTGAGCTCTCGACCCTTCAGCCTGCTCGAAACAGTCGCCGAATTGCTCGTGGAAATCTGCCACTCTCTTGTCGAAAGCGACCGCACGATCTACAGACTCTTTGGCCTTGGCTAGACTGGACTTTGAACCTGGCGCGGGCTCCGTCTTCGGTCGAGGCACTTGCGGTAGCTTACGCGGGACCCTGCGGGCCCTCGTGAGCAGCTTAAGCCTCGGCGCGCTGAGACGCAAAACGAGCCCAATGTGTGGTTTCCAGGCAACACCCCGAAGAGGCACAAGACTACGCACTAAAGGCACCACCGATTCACTCATGACAAGATAATCTATCATACTATCGGCCTCACCCTTCTTTTGTGCACACGTGCCAATGACATCGGCAACCCTCGGAACGCCGCCAACTTTCTCCACAAACTTAGATTTTACCAGTGCCTCTGGAGTCATGTTCCAATCCCCCATCACTGCCCAAGGAATGCGCATCGCCCTCAACAGGCCTCCGAGTCGGCGAAACCGTTCCCGATTCCGACCGGTCATCCCGATGCTTGAGAGTGAATATAGAGCAACAATGACAATAGAGAAGCCCGACTGTTGCATCAGCATCGGAAGAAAACCATTGAAACTGTTCTGAGAGCCAGCCTTCAGCTGTCTCATGGCCATCTGAGCTTCTGGCAGCACATGGCACTGAAGGTGATTGCGTGACAAAAACATCTCTCCGCCCTCGTTGGATCGTTTCTGCCTGGCCGCAGAGACGACCTTGCCTGACGGTCTAGCTCGATTGACTGCAGAGCGCAGCCCAAGCTTGCGCGCTTTGCTGTCCCACTCCCGCACCTCTGACTGGTGCTGCACATGAGCCTCGGCGAGGGCCCAATGATCATAGTGGCGGGATCGCTGCTGAATGAATTTCCATGCTTTGTCCGTCAAGTCGGTGATGTTCTAGTAGAAATAGTGGTCTCGTCATCCTCTACATGAGACGTCCCCCCTGTCTGGGTCTGAGGGGTGACCCTTCCTGTTTGTCACGCACTGGGAGCCAAAGATGCAGCTCCGCCATCAGGACCAGCGTCTCCTGCCGCAACCTTGACCATTGCCTTGGCCTGCTGCTGCTTGGCTGCGAGCTTGGCCTCCGACAGGCGCCGCGCCTCCTGCATGATGGCCTCCTCTTTGACCTTGCGCTGCATCTCCTCGTCGTCACGATCACCTGGGACTGGCACCTGCTTGGGCTCCGCGCCACCGTCGCCCATTGCTGCATCAGGCGGGGCGGCCTGTCCCTCAGCACCTCGACGTTTCTTCGCCATCCTCGCGTGGATCGCCGCCTTGTGCTTCTCCGTCTCCTCGAGGCACCGCCGTACCTCAGCCTCCTTGCCGCTGAAGGTAGCATGCGCCTCCTCGAACTGCTTACGAATGCCCAGCAGCTCCTTCTTCTCTACCTTCGTGCACGCAAGCGTGTCGAGGCCCTCAAAGAACTTGGTGTCCCAGACAATGCTGAGGAGCTGCTGGGGGGCGCCTTGGTATCCTCGAAGCCCGCTCCTTCAGCATTTGCCAACGTGGCCGTGGCTGCCTTCTTAACCGCACAAGCCTCTGCAAGAGCCGTGCTGCTGCTGCTGCTTCTGTAAGTTCAGCAGCTGCACGATTACTGCGCAAACGTGCAACGCTACTCGCAGCCTGTTCGTGCAAGTGTTCAGCTTTCCTGACAGCCCCTTCCGCGCCTCAGAGCTTCCACCGGCGTCTCCGAGGCGAGGGGCATGCTGCTGACCTTCGCGAGCTGCTCGATCTGGGCCTTGAGAACCTGCTGGAGGCTGGGGTCCTTGGCAGCGTCGAGTGCTTGCTGAAGCAGCTGTCGTACTTGCCAAGTGCCACCCTTACCTCCTGTGCCAGGGCCTCCCGCGGAACGATTCCCTGACGGAGACGGGCTGCGAGCGCCTCCCCTCAGGATGCCCACGGGCCCCGCGGGCAAGGGCTGCCGCACCTCATCCTCGTCGCCGCTCCAGGCGTCCACGAACCCGTCGTCGTCGGCGCCCTCGTCCGTGTGGAAGGACACCTTCTTCTTCCTCGCGAACAGCTGCACGGGGTGCCAGCAACTCGGGCAGATGCAGTTCAGCTGTGCCAGCCTCTGGTTCCACTGGCAGCGCTTGCGCGCCTCGCAGCGGGACCACAAACGTGCCATCATGCCTCTGTGCTTGTCAGTACCCTAGAGATCTGGCGGGCTCTGGGGTACTGTCCCTCAAGCGCTTCGGGGAAGCCCAGAGGATGTGGTCCTAGGAAGGGGGTGGACGCCCCCCCCCGCCCGCTCCTCCCTTCTGAACCACAAGTGCTTGAGTGAGGAGGAGGAGGATGAGGAGGAGTAGGAGGGGGAGGAGGGGTTGGAGGAGGAAAATGAGGAGGAGTAGGGGGAGGACGAGGAGGAGGAGGGGGAGAAGGAAGAGGAGGAGGAGAAGGAGGAGGAGCATGGTGAGGAGGAGGAGGGGAAGGAGGAGGACGAAGAGGAGGGGAGAGCAGCAGAGGAGGAGGAGGAGGAGGAGGAGGAGGAGGAGGAGGAGAAGGAGAAGGAGAAATGATGATGATGATGATGATGATGATGATGATGATGATGATGATGATGATGATGATGATGATGATGATGATGATGATGATGATGATGATGATGATGATGATGATGATGATGATGATGATGATGATGATGATGATGATGATGATGACGAGGAAGAGGAGGAGGAGGAGGAGGAGGAGGAGGAGGAGGAGGAGAAAGAGGAGGACGAGGAGGAGGGGGAGAGCAGGAGGAGGAGAGGAAGAGGAGAGGATGAGGAGGAGGAGAAGGAGGAGAAGAGGAGGAGGAGGAGGGGAGGAGCAGGAGGCGGAGGAGGAGGAGGAGGAGGAGGAGGAGGAGGTCCTTAGTCCTCGCGCCCCTGCTCTCAGCTCTGCGGTGATGCTTCTGCTGCTGTTGCTGCTGCTGCTGCTGCTCCTCCTCCTGGTTCTTTGTCCCCACAGCGGTGACAAACGAGTTCCTCTCCGATAACCGCACTCCGTTTTTTTCCACCTGACCTTCTATGACATCCTCTTGTGACAGTGTTACTTCTCCTCCTCCTACTCCTCCTCCTTCTGCCCCCCCCTCCTCCTCCTCCTCCTCCTTCTCCTCCTCCTCCTCCCTCCCTTGTGCTCCTCATCCTCCTCACTCCTCACCCTTTTTCCATCATCCTTCTCTGTCTGTCTTCTTACTCTCTCCTCCAATCGCTTATGGGCGGGGCGTGGCCTGACCGTGGAGGAAACCTGGGCGGGCCCAATGACCAAGGGAAACATTGCATGGCTTTACTGAGCGCATTCCCTGCTGCGGAATCCCAGGTCTACGGCCAGAAGAAGCAGGCCGTGGCCACAGGGGACCTGCTGGCGCAGGTCGCCTCAGCGCTGCGCAGCCGCACGTTTTGAGTCTTGCGTTTGTGCCTTGTGTCCGCCTGCTTGTCTAGCAGCACCAGGTGCCAGCCTCGAGCACACCTTGGGCTTTCCACACGCAGCCAGAGCTTGGGAGTTTCTCGCCATTCCCAGATCAAGAGCATCATTGTCGTTTGCTGGGAACTGATACGGATGACTTATACCAATGATGTATGGCTGCTCCTGGTTCGCAGCTTCTTCGAGTGACAGACTGCCCACTGGGAGTCCTTCCGCCGCGTCTATGTTTTGACTCTCCTCCAGCTCTCACCGTCACTACCCGCATGTCCTGCATGTGTTGCCCCTTGACCGCGCTTGAACATCATATTGCGCAGCCTGCCCGTGCCCCTTGCCTGCACTCAGCCCGCACTTGCATCCCCCCCCGCGCAGTCTGAATCGCATGTGCTGTGCCAGTCTGGTCATATCTGCGTACACGTGACCCTGAATTGCAGCACACCGACCGCCCTGTTCCCTCCGCTCCATCGTTCTGGTCCCGCTGACCCCACCCCCTCTCGCCCTGTGTTCATGGACCTGATCTCCTCTCTTCGTCCTCTTCGTCGTCTTTTTGGGTGGGGCGATGCCCTTCCTCCACGTTTTGTATCATCGCTTCCGCTTTGCATCTTTGCTTCCGTGTCTCATTGCCCTCCTTTTTCTCGGTGTATGCGTGTCTTTGTTCCCCCGTGTGCCCGCCTCTCTGACTCTCTGCCTCTCTGCCTCCGTCTCCCTGTCTCGCCCTT